ACACACACACACACACACACACACACACACACACACACACACACACACACACACACATTCAGGTATGCGTTAATCATGCACTGAAAGTTACAAAACAGCACCCACCACATGGACCCTGACAGATGGCAGCTGGCCGCAGAATACTTAGCAAGCAAACACTAAACCTTTCAGGAAACTGCTCATCACCTCATTTCTGATTGAAGAAAGATTAACTACACATAAATATCATGTATAAAACTGATTTTAGTAGTTGTTGTTTTTTACTGATGATTACCTCTACATATTGCTCAAGAATGCCATTCACTTTAGTTGGCAAACCTTTTCTTTCAGCAAATAATGCATTGCAGTTTAAGAAAATTTTAGCACATTTAAAACATTTCTGTCTTTAAGGACCAGCCTCATCTAAAGACTACTGGAAGGTTTCATAAAGAAAAATTCATACCTCATATTGTTGTACTTTTATTAGATTAGTCATTTTTTTTGACTTGTTCACTTGAAATTTTAGTTTTTCCTCAAACACTTTTTAAACTCATTTGTGTACTTAGAGTCTTGCAACATGACCAACTTCAAATTCAAGTACAAACTTTGTTCATATTAATTAAATTTTATTGGTTTATCATGGGCTAACACGTGTGTTTCACTGGCTGGATGAAATGTTTTTGAAATGCGTCGTTTTCTATTCTGAACAATATTTCAAATTTAAAATAAAAATTAGTGGATTTTCACGAAAACTTGAAGCTCTTGTTCTGAAGTTCTCTGAAAGCTCTTTTATTGTGGCAGTTACATTAAAAAAGAATAATTTTCAGGGTTAAATATTCTGCTTTTCTTCTCTCTCTGTACCATTTAAACATTGAGCACCCTTAATCATTCAAAAACATCCGAACATTTAAATCTGAATTATCTACTTTTCATTGTATCGTTTTATTTGTTTAGTTATGTTTAGTTTGCCCATTGTTGAAAACTTGGTTTTAAGTTTTAAAAAACACAAAACCTCCATAATATTAGAGGTCAAAACAAATTAGTCGTAGATGGTTAAATCATTCAGAATATATTAAAATTCTCTATTAATGGTTGAAAAAGTATTGTAATTAACCATAATTGCAACATACTTGCAAGCAACATCAATAATAATTATGCTTGTGGTTTTAGGTGTTTCATGTGGTATTTATTTAAACAAACATCAAAGGTTTTGTGTGTGCGTTTGTATGTGTGTACCATTGTAACCAGCAGCATTGGTCTTCCAGTCAGGAGCACTCAGATGCCCGGCTCTTGAGGTTTTCACAATGATGTGCTGAACGTCTCTCCAGGTTAGAAGAGGACTATGTAAGAAAACACACAAAAGACACAAACCCACTCACTGGTTAATCTTAATGCCCATAATCTTGGTAAATAAGCAACTAAAATATGTTTTTTAAAAGCAAATGCCAAAAAAATCAGAACATAACCGAAACAACAATATATTGAATGATTTATTGTGATGTAGAAAAATTAGAGGGACAAAGAGATAAATCTCAAGACTAAATAAGGACAAAACGACCATTATGATGTCCAAGAATATTTGTTGTGGGAGTAAATTTTAAAGTACGGAGGTAGGTATGTAGATGAAAGAGGAACTTAAGTTTAAGATAAAAGGAAAAACAGAGGAACAAATGATGCAATATGAAATAAGGCAAAGAAAACAGTGATCTACTAAATGCAGAAGATTAGATTAGGGCTTAAATTACAGAGGACACAGATGAAGAACATAGATGCTTGTTCATGCAACCCTGGTTTCTCAGATCTCACGTGAGAGCCATTATGGGATAGCAGCCATGTGTCTAAAGTCCTTTGATGCCCAAACGCTACATTAAAGGGAAAAAACCAGGAAGAAGTGGGTCACTAAGTTTCCTGGGATTCCCTTCAATCTCATATGTTGGCCAGATGCTCTGTTCCCTCCCTTGTGTCTTTCACTCACCATCTGAGACTTCCAGAAAATTTGAATACTCTAAAATGTGTAAGCAAAAACATTTAGATTTTATAATTTAGAAACATAAATAATTTGAGAAAAAGACAGGGAGTAATAGCTCATTGTATGAGTTGGTTAAACAGGAAAAGGAATGTGTAAAAACCAGAACATCGAAAACGTTTGTGCTCATCTCGCATTAGATACAGATCTTTACAAATCGTAATTAAGAGATTTACCAAGAGAGGATTATTCTTCAAAATTAAGACATGTCAAGAAATGTGATAAAATAACAGCCAATATGGATTTATTCAGTCTATATTTCATGTTTTATTCATGATCTGAGTCTACTGTATGTTTACATCTTTGTAATAAGTCCAATATGCATGTTTAATAAAGTAGAACACATTTGATTACAATTAACCTGTTCAATTTATTCAACACTTTCAATTGTTTGTTAAATTCCTTATTTATTTTTAACAATTCTGGGGAAATAAAAGTATATTTTAAAATGTTTAGTTGAAACTTAAAAATAAAACACTTACGGACATAGGGATGAGTATCTGTTCAGAGCACTGGTCTAAAATGAATTTCTATAAATTAAGAAAGAACAAAGGTTGTAGAAACTCACATCACTTCCTCACACTGTCATGAATTTATCTGTACTGGAGACATTACAGACCTGCTCCTCATGCTGCAGGTCACTAAAGCTTTCAGTGAGCCCCAACTCATAATATTCATTATTATATCCAATATCTGGAAAAAAAAATTGCTGAAGATTTAATGATAGGTGCAAAATAAATAAAGGGGGGAAGCACAGATAAGACTTCAAACAAGTCGGAATAATTAATTTTCAGATCAATATTAATAGGCTTTGCTGCCACTGTGTAATTATGGTTCCATTAAAGTTTTATGGTCATTAATTAAAAGTGACTTTGGCATCGCTATCTAGGCCATGACCGCCTTCTCATAAACAAGCCAATACTAATTAATAGAGAGGCTCACATGCAGGGGAAAACCTGACGCAAATAAGAAGTCAGATACATGTTTCTTGATGCTTCTTTCAGATTTAACTACARATTAAAGTTTGCACGGAAAAGAATGACTTGGAAGGGAAAGGATAGAAGAGTCCATCACCACAATGCAGTCTAATCTAAAGTCTCTTTCTGTGATTTGAATTTAAACATAAAAAAACAAATAGAGAATAATAATAATAAATTTTACCCTTCTCTGTCTATTTTACTATTTAAAAAAACTCAAAGCGGGAGAGGTTGATAGGCCAGATTGTTGCTCTAACTTTATGATTACACAAATTAAATTTCAGCCTCGTTAAATAATTAAAAACTAAACTTCTTTTTTTGTCAAACACACACACACACACACACACACACACACACACACACACACACACACACACACACACACACACACACACACACACACACACACACACACACACACACACACACACACACACACACACACACACAAACTACATTTCTAAACAAAAAACAAAATGATTCCTGAAGATATAAAGTCGTGCTTTGCCTATTTATGCACTCACAACTTGACAAAACAGAACAAAGATCATGTTAATCCTCAGTTATACAAACAGAAAACACTTTAACAGAGTTTTGATTGGACCAGGATAATAGCATTGTGACACATTACAAGATAAGAGCAGATATGTTCAATAAAAGTATAGAACAAAAGTCGTCTGTCCCGCATTTATTCTGTCCTCTCCACAAGTGCATACACGCAAGAATAAACTGAGAGTGAAAAAAAAAGCACAGAGAAGAGAGTTTGCCTTGGAGGCGTTAAAAAAAAAGTACAGCAAGAATGAGCCAGCAGAAGAGAAAGCAAGCAGGGCAGAAACGGTGTGTGATAATCTTGTTGAGGAAACAGGCTTACGTGCCCAGCACTGCCTGGAAACCAAGAATATTTTCTGCTGAGGGTGGGGGGCGGGGGATTTGGATTGGATTATCCAGGTTAATCGATGTGACCTCAGTTATCTGAGCTGCTCAACATGTGATGATGGGTCTAATTCTGAGTCCCTGCACCTGCACTGCAGTTCCAATTAATGAATTCATCACAAATCTAAAGTCCTAAAGATAGATAAGAAAAGCCGAATGGCATCTGCGGTGCCTCGAAGAGACGGTAACATCTGAAAATAGAAGAAATTCGAACAAGACGCAAACAGAGGAAGAAGTTACCAGACTTTAATGCTAATGTGTTACACACCTGCCCCCGATCCCAATACATATACAGTATATCACAAGAGACTGTAACCATCAATGCAACTAAATGTGGCTGCTGCATTACAAAAAAAATAGCTTAATCCTGTTAAAGCCCAAATAAAATACCTTGTTAAAATGATATGCGATGAGAAACAACAATCGGGGAAGCAGACAAAACCCATGAGTACCAATGTTTACTGGCAGATTATTTTTCTCTACTCAATGCAGGTCTGATCCATTAAAACCCTCTCAAACACTCTGAAGACCAAACATTTCAAGAAGTGCTTCGTCGTCATCACAACTGCGGCCTAGATGAAAACAACAGGTAAATATCAACAGCTGTTAAATCCTTTCATGCAGCTTTGTGCCTCTGCCACTCACATTCTCATATAGGTATTTATTTGATATTTGTGCTTCTCTGACTTTTCCCTTCCTCACTATTTGTGCTGAAGTTTAAACAACAACGCATTCAATGATGAGTTTTAGGCCACCGTTCAGCTAAACTCTACTCCTGCTGCTTTCTCTGAACACTAGAAGCTGACATAAACATTCAATCCAGTTGTTTTAAACCTCCACATGATGTTAAAGCTTGTAAATCCTCTGTGCATGTTTCCACAAATATTTCTGGCATTAACTGCTAAAAACAAACAACTTTTTTGAGTAGTTAAATCTTTTTTTTTCTACTGGAGACTCAGCAACAGTAACAAAACAATGTCTCACGTGTGCCTCTTATAGATCAATAAAGGAAGAGGACAAGAGGGCATTAGAGGTTAACCGTGGGACAATGGGGATGACAGGATGAGGTTAAGTGGATCTTACTTTGCCTCCAGGGCCAGAGCGATGATGGCAGCTGCCATGGGAGCAGAGGCTGATGTCCCTGTRTGGCTGTCTGTACACCGGTGCCGCAGATCTGTTGTGATCTGCAGAGGGAGGAGAAGGACAGGATCAAAACAGAGGGACGGAGGGGATGCAATGAAAGAATGAAAGGATGAATGGGGAGCTAGTATTGACACCAACAGCAGGACTAAAGGGGAGAAAATGACAGACAGACAAAGAGCGGAGTCATGAGGATCAGGCAGAGTTAGACACACCTGAAACTCCTAAAACACACATTCCAGCTTTGACACGCTTCTGTGCAAGACACACACACACACACACACACACAGCTTTTTCCAAAGCACCAGTTGATGCCCAAAAAGAAGAAAAGGGCACAGTGTATTAGCCACTAAAAGGCGATAAGTTATTAAAGAGCAGTATATTTGCTTTGACTGTATGGGCTCTAATCAGCCATCAAGACAGCCTGACAGTCAGTCAGCCAAGAAAAGCTTGGCTAACTTCCAGTCTGAACCCTCATCAAAGGACTTTCTCTGGACCGAAAAGTTTAAAGGATTATCTGGGGAAACACACGAACGCACAACTCACAGAAAGAGAAAGTTAATGTACARCAGTTTTGTAATGAGTGAAAGTGATGTCATTAATAGTTCATAGGACACTTCGACCAACCGTACATAAGCCAAAAGGATAATATGTATACATCTTTACTGATGAACAAAAAGATGTAGATAAGATGTGAAATGTGTGTGCTCGAGTGTGTGTCTGTGAGGAATTTAGCGAAACACTGACAGACAAGCTATCTCACAGTGGCCAACTGTCTCAGTTTGCTTCAGTGATGTGGTCTCTTTCAGTTACAATGTTGACCCTGAAATCACACAGAGAGAGAGAGAAACCATTTATATCCTTACGATCTTTCTGTCGTAGTTCTCCCCGCTGCTGTATGTGGTGGTCAGTGTGGACGAACACTCCTCCAGGTACCAGGGTTTGCGTCCGCTCTCGGCCGTGCTGGAGATGGAGATGGTGTAGATGGAGTTGGTGTAGCCATCGCAGGAGCAGTGGTCTCTGCTGCGCCCGCCGTTACCTGAGGCCCAAACAAAGATGGAGCCACGGCCCTTTCTCCCCTGACAATGAACGAAACAGATTTTTTAAACATCATTTCCTACTCATGTTTTGCATTCCTATCCGAAGTAGCTCAACCAAGTCAAGTCATTGTATTGTGTGTCTTTGAGTGTTTGTGTGAAATCTAAATTTTGATTTTAAATCGGAACATTGATAAGAAGGCCTGTTTAATAAAATCACTTACACAAGTCCTGAAAGATTTGTTTTATTTGCAGACTGACAGCCTACCCAGAGAGTTATAAATAATTAAATTTATCTTCCAGAACCTGTCTGTAAATTCCCTCAGGAACTGATAAGAATAACCAAAACATTTTTTCCCTTATGGGTACTCAGTGCCAGGTATTTTCTTATCAGTGCCTATTTAGAAATGACTTTCAATTTCCAACATTTGTCCTCAGCAGTCTGAAAAATAACCAGGAAATAAACCCTGTGTAATTTGATTGAACCTTGGCGATTAAAATAATCTAACAGGCCACAGTGTAGTGGAATATAGGCTGGTGTTGATGATTATCAAGTTGTGCTAGTGACTTTTTAATTGCATGTTGACCTGAAAGMGTTTTAGCCTGTTTTCATGACATTTGAGAGGAGGGAAGCTGAATCACTGGGTGAGATGGACCTAAAGCCATTTGACTGTATTTTATCTGTTTTATACCTGATTCAAAATGTGACCTAAACAAATAACTTCCTGTAAATATTTTTGGGAAACAAGCATTGCATCAGTTAGTTGCATCATTATTTTTGTTATTTCTTAAGGAACATCTGTTGTAAAAATAGAAGTTATGGCTTCTCAAATATGTTTTTTTTAACTTAAATGGTACATGAAAATGATTTCTATTTAATATTTAAGTTGCATTTTTTTTATTTCTCTTTATTGTACATTAAAACCAATTTGGTTTGTTTATGTTGTGACTGTTCAGTTTTTTCTATTTTTTCTGTTTTATTCGTCCAGCATTACTCAGTGTTTAGTGAATTTATGTTTATGTCTTGTAGTTTTATTTAGTTTAATATGATAATAGCTCAATTTTAAAACACGTTTTTGAAGCAAATGAAAATGGTTTTTTTTTGTGTGTGTGGATGTTTTAGACACATGTAAAGAACAGCACATTTATATAAAAAATATGTTTGTAGATTTAACGATCAGATTAGTCTGTTTCCTCGTGTGCAGTTGGCTCAATTAAAATGTTTTTTCCAGGTTTGAACTAATTTAATTTGATCTAAACATCAGATCACCAGACAGGTGGTTATTTAATACAGCCAAGTTCAGCCAGGAGTCAGTCCAAAAAAAAAAAACATCTGACGATCTGATGGACACTGAAATTCACACTATTTGTCAAGACACACAGACACACACATATACACACACCTGAGGCAATAAAAGATACGATGGGAGTTTTTCAATAAAAAGGCTCCTGTCAGGGAGCGATAAGCGCATGAAGTCCCTCTGAGTGAGAGGAGGCTCAGTCAGGAGCAAACGCTGGCAGATGAGTGATGAAGAGTGCTTTTAAAACCAGTTAACAGCAAAAGGGAGGAACAAAGAAGGAGGAACAAGAATGAAAGGGGAAAGAGATGAAATTTATCATTAAACTAGGATGCTGATCACTGTCAACAGATCACAATAGAACAAACAGAGCTTGTTCCTGTCTGTGCAAGTGATTTAGCCAATTAATTTTTTAGATTGTGAGAACAGATGTCAAGGGATGGAAAAAAAAATAGAAAACAAAAAGGCTGACTTTTCAGTGATGGAAAAATCATTCAAATTTCAACAAACGACACCTGACATATAAACTCAAATAGACACTGCACACCAGAAAAACCTTGTTTAAATTAAATGTGCAGCAGATCGGGACAGAGTGTAAATCTTGCCACAGCTGTCAGTCCTACCTTTTACACCTCAGCTGTCAAACTGTCATTCAGGTCTACATTACACTAGCAAGCATGCCATATTCACTAAACTTCACAAACACACACACACACACCGCTACAAGCACATGTAGTAAGAGTCAAGCACAAATACTGGTACTCACACCAGCTGGACAGACATCTTCCTCACCTCTGTTATTTTCAAAGCCGAGCCTGTCAACAACTAGAGGGACTCCTCTCCTCACACTCACTACCTCTGTGTTTCTTTTCGCTCTGCCTTGTCTTAAGGATTTTCTTCTCAGTCTTCAAGACAGAAATGTTGTCCTCTATTGACCACCGATTCGTCTCTAACTTCCCTGAGGTCTAAAACTTCTTCACTCCCAGAGAGCTGGGTGTAGYAAACGATGTGAATGTGAACCAGTAAACCAGTAAATGACTTTACCCCCTATTAACCTCTTTCCCTCTCAATGGCTCTGTGAAAAGAGCACCCACCTTGTCGTTTGGGAAAACAGGTCATAAATATGTAAATGAATAAATAACAAAGCAGAAATGCTCTCTCACAATCAAGAGCTTCACATGTAGAAATAACCAAGGATAAATAGGACTGAGTATACTGAATTAAAACACATATCTGCTTCGAGGATTTTTTTAAATGCATTTTATTCTGCATGAATGCTGAAGTCAGTATTGTGGGTGACTGGTTTGTTTGATGTTTGTGCATGTAAATGTGATCATGTGCCTACCGAGCGGATGCCGTTCTCAAAGGCCTGCCTGGCCAGAGCTGCTGGTCCATCCACAGTCTTTCCATCATCATCGGGTCCCCAGCTGGCGCTGTAGATGTCAATGTGCTGCTGGCTGAGGCTCAAAGACTTGGCYTCCACCATGTCGGTCACATCGCCATCCAGCATTCGAACACCTGAAACACAGTGGGGGGGTGGGGGGTGGGGGCAGGGGAAATAAAAAACAATATTTAATGTACTGTCCATGTTTTCAGCAAAACATGCTGACAAGGTATTAAAAAAATTATTAAAAACAGAAAGGTGCATCATGTTTTTACCTATCTGCTGTTTTGCTTCAGAAAAAGATCCACAGCTATAAGTATTCACTGCTGATTTGTGCAACAAGATCTTTCTCAATTTTGGCAGCTCTTAGTGGCTATGATTTGTTTGTAGAAAAGAGATTTTACTAGAATTGTTTGTCCTCTTTTGAGAGGCCACTTTTACCCTTTAATAAATACTTACAAGGTTTCACATCGTCCACCTCGTCCATTTAAAATAAAGAGTGATTTGAGGAGTTAAGAAAACTAGAGAAGCATTGCAGGTGACTTCAGAGTGTTATACTGTTATTTATCATGTCAGTATCCTAACAGGTGGTCAATATTAAATAAATCATAGAATATAAAGCCCTGCCAAGAAGAACAGTATGACACAATTAATTATTAAATACAAATATACTGAATCACTTACCCCCTATTCTGGCATTATAGGCAATTCCCACAATGCAGTGGGAGTTGTTTGCAGATGCAGCCACTTCACCTGCGCACCGTGTGCCATGCCTGAGGAAAGACATATTGCTTAAAAAAACAACTTGCACAGTTACATACAAAACATTATTTTAAAAAACCTTGTTTTGGTACTGATGGTTCTGAAAGAATGAAACTGACTTTTGTCATAAATTTTGTTTTCTCCCCAATTGTACAAACACAGGGGTCCTGTTTTGATCCCTTGTGAGAGCAGMAAGCAAAGCAGTCGACGCCACTGACGTTCATAAAAAAAGAAAATGATCATTTAAACAATGTCTAATATATTTAATATGACAGACTTCTCAAATTTCTCTCCACAGGGTAACATTCCACCAGTAACTGCAGTGGTGACAATCGGCCCGGGTCACAGTCATGCTACGTTTGTGTCGGCTGCCTCCTCAAAAACACCACTTTCAGGATCTGCACAAACACACATTTCCTGTAGAGAACATCTGCTACGCAACCCCCCAAAACATCTCTAACCGCTGACATGGAAACCCAGCATCTAGAGGCCGAGCCCCCCCAGTAAAGACAGGGGACGTTACAGAGTCCAGGGAAGCAATCGAAACAAAGTCTGTGTCAGAGCAAGGCGGTTATAATAATGTAAAATTTATTTTACAATAAATTTAGATTACATTGGTGGTGCTGCAACCTATTTGTTTTCTACTGTCATTTAAAAATAAACAAAAAAATGCATAAATTTAATTTATTTCTTCAAAAATCAACATTTTTTTAACATCACAGTGTTCAGTCTTACTCTGCTCTGGGGTAAYGCAAAAAACACAAAAGAATATCTAAATACACACAACATACACAATCAAGTTTGAGATATTTTCTTTTACTCAATTTATAAAATCTGACTTTCCTGCCTTTTTTCTTACAAACCAATTTCAGCTCTACCGTCTTCCTCTTTCAGGTACATCCAGATATATGTTTAGAAGAAGGGAAGATTTAAACTGACCAACAATGAAATCAGAAGCTAATCTTGCTAAAAACCCACTCTGGCATATCAAATGGCACGTTTTTCCTCAGCAGACATTTTGATTTGAACAAGCAGAAMGATCACAGGTGCAACAACAACGGTACCGTTCCAGTTCGGCACCTGTGCAAACTGGTTGGTTTGTAGAACGTGCCCAAAAGCAGAACTTTCTCCTGAGTGGTATGCAGGTCTTGTGAACACGTGTGTTTGTCTGGCTGCTTTAACGCAAAACATTGTCTGCAGGTACATGAAGGGAAACTTTAAAATAGACATTTAATGCTTTTAAATCCTTTTTTCACATTTAAATCATCCACTTGGGGTCTATATGAAGTGGAACTGCAATGCTTTGGTCTGAATTCCTCCTTATGGTAACTCCACAAGCCCCTCTTTCACCCCTGTTCTGAGGCGTGTCTCAGATCAATTCATTTTGAGGCTGTCTCTTGAATCCTTCACACCCCACCCCACCCTCCAGCTTCCAGACTGGTTCAGTCTTTTTTTATTATTCATTCATTTCATTAAAAACAACATAAATTCAATATAATTAAAATTCAAATCATAAATAAATGAAAGGGGTCTACAGACTGGGAGTGTTGGGGTCTACAGACTGGGAGTGTTGGGGTCTACAGGCTGGAGGTGTTGGGGTCTACAGACTGGGAGTGTTGGGGTCTACAGACTGGAGGTGTTGGGGTCTACAGACTGGGAGTGTTGGGGTCTACAGACTGGGAGTGTTGGGGGTCTACAGACTGGGAGTGTTGGGGTCTACAGACTGGGGGTGTTGGGGGTCTACAGACTGGAGGTGTTGGGGGTCTACAGACTGGAGGTGTTGGGGTCTACAGACTGGAGGTGTTGGGGTCTACAGACTGGAGGTGTTGGGGGTCTACAGACTGG